AGTACTAATCTTTGTAGCATCTGCTAGCTCGCGCTCCTTCCCTTTCCGCTCCGCCAACACCATTTCATGTATTTTTTTGACATTTTCCTCGGTAACCGCATCGGAGGGCCTGCCGCTGCGGACTTCATCGGTAGTGGAGTTGCGGCCACCACGAAACTCTCGAAACCAATATTTGACGGTGTAATCTGACGGAGTATTAGCCACATAATATGTATCCAACTTTTCTTTTGTTTTCTTCGCCGTTTTGCCTCTCAAAAAATAATGTTTTATGAGAGAACGAAAATCGTTTTCGCAAACACGTCAACAACAATCAGCTCTCAAAACAAAACTAAGGGCAGTATAGCACTGCCACTTGGCATGTCTGCCTAAATATGAACGGACTACAAGGCACCATAAACTTTTTTGCAGTAGTGGCGCATTCTGGCGGTCAAGGAGATTACTTTTCACCCCATCTCAATGCTTCAGGGAAAGTCCCGGAACGTTAAACAAATAACAATTCATTACCATCTCTCTTCAATTGTAAAACTAGTAAAATCCATCAAACAAAGCGATTTCATGATTTGGGTTGTCATAAGCTTTAACCGAACAATTAATTGCAATACATTTATTAGACCGAACGACAGTTTTTCTTTTTTTTTTTTTTATAGCGAACAACGGATGTAACGGCATGACGCGACCGATTGCGGGTCACTCGGCGCGCAATTCTAAAAATGAAACAGCCCATCGAGCGAAACGACCTCGTAACGCAATCGCGGCAGCATAAGTTTTCAGTTATGAGTTCGCTTCCGCGTCGTAACGGAGCCGCCCGGCGTTTTCGGAGGCGCGTATCCGCGAGTTTTAAGGAGTTCTACGTCCCATTATAAAGTCTTCACCGCGCATAATACCATTCGGCTCTGCGGGCTGGCGGGCATTAGGGAAATCGCGTTTCCACCCTTCTCGTATTAGCTTGGCGCCACGAGAAAGAGAGCCGGCTACCGTTTCTCCTCCTTCAACTCCCTTCGTTCCCGCCATACTGCGTTCACGCGTTGAATGCGACCTTCGATCGGATTTGGTGAACTTCCACACGCCGGGACTTACCTCGATTTCGACTCCTCATGGCACCGCAAAAAGACAGATTGTCGGATGGGGAGTGGAACGAAGAAGCTGGAACAGAGGAGAGGGTGATGACGAAGGTGGAAGAGGCAACGTCCCAGATGTGGAACGCGCATAGGATCTGCCGGTACGTTGGAGATGAAGTCGTAGATCCTCTCGACTGGAAATGAAAAACGCTCTTGGAATACACCAGGTTGTATTTATAAGAATGTTATATTTTCTCGGTAGTAATGGGAACTGCCTTCCCCCCTCGCGGGGATTAGGCAGTCGTTAATATTATTAATAGAGCCCTAGGTAAGTGATATTATATACAGATGGATAAAAAATGAAAGTGTCGTCCCCTGTCTCTTCTCTGTCCTACGTAAGGAGACAGTCCTCTGTCCTCTTCGCCCCGTACTGCTTGCCTCCTGTCGTCCGACCTGTTTCCCTCCGCCGTGTCGCAGGACTTTGTACTAACACGATGCGACAGTCGTCGGGTTCGATCCGTTGTTCTTCGAATTTATAAATGTTCGATGTAAACTAATTTCCCGTTACGCGTTCTTTCTCTCGGATTTTGCGACCTTGTCAAATTACAAGTGAATATCGCTTCATTCGAATTTAGATAGCAACTTTAATTGTTATTTTAATAACTGTAATGATCATTCTCTATCCCCTTCAGTATAAAAAAGATTAAGGCTCATTTTTATCAAAGTAGATTAACTTTACCTAACCCTTTAATTTATTCTTTATCTTTTTCTAATTCTTGCAGGGAGAGCCAAATAGTATACACACGGATTTCGTCTAATTTTAAATATGTTTTAAAACTTACCTTTTAATAGACAAGTGGCACAACGCAACATTTATGTATTCGCAAGAAATTTGCATCGAAAGTTTCTCATATACTTTTTTTTCTATGTAAATTTTTACAGAATGTGCATTTAAGTGAATAATTATTCACCAAATCCCTTGAGGAAATGATAGAGGGTCGTGTCCCCGACTTAACCAAACCCACGTGACCTTTGGAAAATTTTCGCGGGCACACAGTGTAATTATGCAATGCATGTAGTAGAAAAATTATTACTTTATAACTATAAAATTAATTTTTAACACATACAACAAGTAATATCGAACGTGCGCAATTTATAATTAAAAATTCCAAAACTTTTAACGCTCACCACTTGTTTATAAATTAGGAATACTAAAACAGATTTAAAATTAAGCAAAATCCGTGTATACACTACTTGACCTCTCCTTGTTAAAACTAAAAAAAAAAAAATAAAGTTAAACCGAGATTAAAGTTAATCTACATTAGTAGAAATGGACATAAGGTCTATAATACGTATCACTAAACGATAGTAACGAAAATAAAAGTGTTGCCGTTGCTAGCTATGACACGGAAGAGTAGTACATTACAGTTATTTTCAAACGCAACCGGCTGCGAATGAGAGAAAGCCCGGATGTAATGCGGGAATGAGACGGACCGGTATTTCCGGCGTCGCGGGAAATTGCTCACAGTTAATAGCGTTACGAGCTCGCAGTTAATAATGCCGCGGCGGCAAACGCGGCAGAGAGCGTTTCCGCCGGTCTCCTTTCTGATCTCTGTATGATTACGAATGTATGCCGTTTGGCGTTTGGTATAGATAAGCGCCGCCGTATTTTTGGCATTAAAGCGTTAAAGCTAAGTGACTAAGCCCCTCGCTCTGCTCCGATGAGAGCTCGCGACTGTCGGACAGCGACGGATTATGGAATACTTAAAAACCTCCCGCCATAAACCACTTCAAGTCTCTCTGTTTTGCTATCGCCAACGAGAATTTGAAATCATATGAATTAAAATAAGTATTGTCAGTGGTGAACGATTACATCGCATTTGCTGTAGCAATTAAACGATAATTAAAAAAAGCAAAATTTTTCAGAAAACAAGTTTCAATATTTTGAATTATTAAATTTTGTATTGAATAAATTTAAATTTTATAATATTAATTTTTAAAATGCAATTTTTATATAATAATTGATTGTAGAATGAATAAAAGTATTTTTTTTCTTTATGTTTTTTGCAAGTAATTAAAAAATGACAATTTTGTAATCATGTTGTAGTAAATGAACAATATGTTTTATCATCGCAATAATAATGTGTTTTGTGAAATCGCGAATTTCAGAGGTCCAAGCGATAATCTGCCGCTGCTCTTCGCCGGCAAGAATAGCTGAAGCTTATAAAAAATAATTCGCCGTGACGCGTCGGGCTGTCTGAAACTGAATCTTTCCGCGGCGTTCCGAGGGGTTCTTAACCTAATGTCTTTAATTAATCTTTGGTATCGGCTGTCACGTGAGCCGATCGCGTCCAACTCGCGACGTAACACATAACAGAAATTTCATGAGACTAGAAGGGCCACGAAGAAGAAATCGACTGATGCTGTGGGACAATGGAAAATTTAGCGTTAATCTTTGAATATCCCGAAAATAGTTGGGGGTACCAATTATCTTTACTAGCCCCTCTTTCGATTTTTCGAATTTTAAAAAGTAAATATTCCAACGACTGAATTAATAAGAAGGTATAATCCGTTGTATTATCATTGATTATTAATTAGTAGCATTATACAAAGAATTAATATGAAACTTGTCAATAATCGAATAATATACTCTCATAAATCTGAAACGGAATATCAAAATAAAATTTTATTGATATATTTACATCCTATTGATTGCACTAATAACTGAATTTCTAATAAAATAAATTATTTTAAATTCAACTTTCAGTTTTGTACAATAAAAAAATACACTATATGTATTTAGTGAATATAATACAATATTTTAAAGAATTTGAAAATGTCACACTATGTCTTATCCAAGATAATAAGAAGATGAGTAAAAATATGATTATCTTCTGCGAAACTTGAAAGAAATAATTTTTTCAAAAAATAATTTGCAATCAAAATTATACTACCGTTTAAATAAAAATATTTGTTTACCCAAATCTTTGTACCTATCTTTTTTATAAAGATAGGTAAAAAAAACCTAAATTCCATTTTAATTGTATTTTTTTTACTGCATTTAAAATTAAAAATTTTTAACTATACATTATTGTTAAGTTTAACATAAAAAAAAATAGAAAGGAAAATAGAAAGTTCACTCTTTTAATTCACTCTTCTTCATTTAATTCAGAAAAACAGAAGGAGTAAATACTTTCGAGGGATAGTATATTTTTATTACTTATTATGGTACAAAATATTTGACCACTATTAATTTTGCCATTTTCTTGCTGTTAATAACAAACATTTTTAATAATTACAGATATACTCTTTTCAATCACATTCAATTTATTGGAATATTTACCTTATAAGATGATCGTTTTATTTCCTTTCCCTTTCGTGGCTGCCCGTTTTCGGCCGGCTGTAAAACGGGAGATCGCGGAATTATGGCACGTGTGTTACAGAACCCCTCGCGTTCCTTTCGCTCTCTTCGCTAAGATCCCTCTTCTTTCGAATTTCGGCGCTTCTACGTCCTTACGCGTGGACGACGGCGGTTATCACGAGCGGGACAAGAGTTATCTCGGTGGGCGTGCGTATACTGGTAATTGTTTCGTTCTCTCTCTTTCTCACTTTCGCGGAGTCGATTACGACACAGATATATTTACAGAACGACTCCGCTGCTTGCACACATGCGTACGCGATTCTCGTACAGACCCACATTCGCGCAGAATCACATTCGTTCCCATCTCGCTAAAGAAATATATCTTACATGAATTATCTAATTTATCCTTATGTGTGTGTCGAGTGTCGTGTCGTATCTTACAAGACGCGTACGTGCATCGGCAAACAACGCAAAAGTCTGAGAGACGCCTGAAAGACAGTCTGGTGAATTTTACGACGTCATTTAAACGTTTGCGTTGCCCGGAAGGAGTGTATGCGCTTGTGTTTAGTGTACGTTCTGTATGTACCTGTATGCCTGCGTAAATACGGTGTGTCGAGCTCCAGCTCGCGCCACGCGCGTGTCCTACACTGTATTAACATTAACTTCCGTTAAATTTGTGTTCATTTTCCACGATCACAGTGATTTCAATCTCCCAAGACTCATCACTTTGTCCACGAAGCCTCGGATTCCACTTCGAAGTTCGTCCGATTCCTCGCGCGTTTAACATTTCCGTCCCTCCCTCCTTCATTCACATCCCTCGCTCGGTCTCTCTATCGCTCCTTTCAACCCTTTTTTTCTTTGTTCATTCCGTCATTCTTGGTGCAACGTATACCTTTCATCTGCTTTTCCGTTGCCCGGAATCCATGGATTATATTCCACGAGCGAAGAGAACTCCCGTTTTAATAACCGCTGAGACACCTGAGCTTCTTCAGAGGCGGCGAAGCCTCGTTTCAGCTGGTTGGCGCCTGCATAGACATCGGGGGTGGCTTCACGGGCCCGAGGGCGGGCCCAGACAGACCGTTGTTGTTCATATCACCCGGTGCCCTCGGTCCGCCAACCCCTATAGTCGTCCCGTTCATCGTCGGCGTGCCACCTGACATTTGACCCTGAAGTCATAAAAGATTCACGAGACGTGAGACGTCATTCTCACGTTGCATCAGTGATCGTTACAAGCCTCGATGGCTTTACTGATTGCAAAAAAAAATATCCTAATTATACCAACAAGAAGTACAAACAAAACAAATTCTGATTATACGAATTAAAATTCTGATTATCATAATTGAATTTATAGTTAACTTGGTTAGAATTTGATAGATTTAACTGTAAGAGAACTTTCGAGAACCAAAGATGGGGTGCATAATTTTACATGCCTCTGTAAATGTCTGACTTGTACTTTTCTGGTTGAATTTATCAAAATTCTAATTAATATAATAAGATTTCTTTTCTAAAACACTGAGAAAAGTATATATAAATGGTTTCATAATACTGGAAAAAATATGTATTAAGATTTAGAATCTTTTGAATCTTTTGAATCTTTTTTTCAGTGTGTCCAAATTGTAAGGTAAAAGTCTATTTCATTCTCTCGTAAAAAGATTATATCGCTTAATTATGTATAATGATATAATTATTAAAAAATTATTACGACGGAAGTAAAATAACAAAAACAATATATAGGGAAATTATAATTTCATGTGCTCTATTATTCTAATATGTTACAAATTTTTATTTACTCTTATCGCTGATTTATTTCCCGAGTTTGCTTTCGACCATTCATTTCGACAGTTTGTTGGCACTTACGTTGGGCACATGATTGTGCTGGGCCACCGACTGCCCCAGACCTTGATGAGCCTGGAGTGGATTGTGTCCTGGGTGTATGTTTTGGCCCGGAGGCGTTGGTGTAGGAGGGAGTTGTCTTTTAATGTATGCTAATGAGGCGGGTGATTGTAACGCCATATTAGCGAACGCTAGCCTCTCCTCGTAGTCGTACTCGCAGAGAATCTTGTTCTCACACAAGTAAAACCGATCGCCTACACAAAACCTGTAAATAAAAAAAAAAGGAACACGCTATATTTTCGGAAGTGCCGTGATTTGCTTTTCAAGAACATTTCATAAATTACCAGAGTTTTATTCTAAAAATCCATTGACAACAATTAGACTCCCAATTCAAAACAATGATAGAAAAAGAAGTTAGTCCTTGACGTCATTAGAAATGTAAAAGGAACGCGTACGCGCTAATTGTTCGTCGGTCGTTCGTCAACGAGATTTAAGCAAGCTCCGGCAAGACTCAGAGAAAGACTCGAAGAGAACGCGATTAACAAATGAGGCTCGATCCTGTACTCCGGTCGATCCCGGCATCCTCGGTTCGTTACTCCAAATCCGATCGATCGACCGGCATGAGGAGGAAAGGGGGAAGAAAAGAAAAAGCAACGAGGAAAAATGAAAAAGGGAGGAAGCACGAAAAAGGAGTTCCGCTGGATAACGAGCATATCGTAACGTATCGAACAAATAATTATTACCGGGGCCTCTGTTCGCGAGAGAGAGAGAGAGAGAGAGAGGGGGGAGGGGGGGAGGGGGAGAGTGTGGCCTCGCACACATTCGCTTTGATCCCCGGCTAGGAAATACGAGAGCGAAATACGAGAGCACGGCGGCACACGGCGCGGCATAGCGCCGCTCCGTGCCGTGCTGGGTCTCTGGCTCGGGGTAGATACTCTCATAATCGCACGGCAAATAGAATTATCGCGTTGCTGCGCGCGTGGCCGTGCTGGCAGCAAGCGCACGGGGTTATACCGGGTTTCGCTCGTTTCCCCCATTATACGCGTCGTCTGCTAAATGACGCCACACTCCAATCGGATACCTATCCCTCTCCGTTTCCCTTCGCCCCTCGCCCTCCCATTCAACCATCCCTCCTCTCTCTACTCCCCTCCCCCCCCTCTCTCTCTCTCATTTTCTCGATATATCTACCAGTCACTGTACTTTTAATCCGGATTTACCTAGTTATTTCGCACTGATTAACTGCACAAAAAAGGTATGTTGCCGCTTGACAAACAGTAGGAATAGCAATAAATTTATCTTATAAAAATTAAATGTTCATTTTCTTAGAATGCGTCAAGCTTTCTTCTGAGAAAAATACGAAAATTTTTATTTTTTTTATTATTTTTATTATTTTTAATTTAGAAATAGTTACTTGGAGTATTTTTTTTTATATCTCAGTAGCGAAAAAATATAAATTGTAAAATATAATTTTTTATGGATATTGTTTAACACATTCTCTTTCTTTTTTAATAACTACGCTTTACGAATTTTTAAATATACAATTCCATCGAAAATTTCGCAATAGAAAATATATAATATATTTAAATCTTTATTTTTTGAAAATATTGTCATAATAATAAGTTACTATTAGTAATGTGCTTATTCTGTTATATATTGGTTTGGTTTCTACTTACTTTTTTTAGAAAATTGTGATTAAATTTATATTTATATTTATATCCTCAAATACTAATAAATTGAAAAACAATCAATAACATACAATATAATCATATTAAGAATTTTACGATTATATGTGAATACATCAAATACGATAAAGAAAGTCAAGATTGGTCAAATTTTGGATGTTACAAATAATACATTATATATTGTTTTATTACATCAATTATATCTGGAATAAATTGATTTAATAAAAGAATATATAATGTATTATTTGTAACATTCAAAATCTTGGCTTTATTTTATATATTTATTTAATATATTGTAACAATAGTGATTTTAATTGGGATGCATATATATATAAAATAACTCAGGTATCGTTTAGAGCTATTCTTGGGTTAATGTTGTTTATGTCATCAAACAGTAATAACAATAAATAATACGAAGAACTAGCCGAGATTTTTATTCCTCACAAGAAATAATTATAGCAGAAAACTGTAATGTTTTGCCTTTGAAATCACGATAGATCAGAAATACAACGACGAACAAAGTTTACAATGAACGCGAATTAAACGAATTAATTGAAATAATGCTTATCGTTATCGCAATCGATATTCCTATTGCATTTCATACGTGCGTGATATAATCGACGGAAGCATATTTGTATTTCACCATTAGTCATTTCTCATTAATGTTGGGGCGGTTTGAGAGACGGGAAGGAGAGACGTGAGGGAGAGAAAAAAAGAATTAATATCCGAGCTCCAACGGCAATACTCTCGACGGTTTAAACGAAAATAATCCTTGTAACGCTTTGGAATACCTTTTTCGGCCGTCTGGTTAGAGGCAGATACTGGGTCGTAATTGCGCGGGCAATGGAATTATCGCGTTGCACGAGCGCAGTCATTCCCGCGGCCTTCCATTATGCGCGCGCGAATAATGCCGCGCAAAGCCCGATCCTTTCTCGCGAAAACGGTGCAAATGTCTGCCGTGGAACGATATCAGCGCACACGCTGCCCCGTAATTTTCCACCTAGTCCCCGCCCTCCCCATGCATTTTTATTCTATGTGATATGTCGCGGAGGTCCAAAATCAGGATCAAAGAACATCAGGAGAAATGTGCAGATACTCTATTCAAGTCGATCGTATTGACTCTATAAAGTCCTTAAAAATTAAAACTAAAACAGATAACTTGAGTGAGATCAATTATGATATCTCTCTAGTGTTTCATCATTTTTTTAATTAATAGTTAATTAATAATTGGAAAATAAAAAAAAATAAGATTAAGATTATCAGAATTGCAAAAATATTTTTTAATACTTCTCGATGAGAATTTATCTATTTGTCCATTTATCACAAAGAGAAAATGTAGAAACTATATGATACAGTATTAACAAGGATAAATCCTCATCTCAAATTTTATCAAAAATTATGAAAATTTGACAATATAATAAGTTAGGCAAAAAATCCTTTTTACATATGTGTAAAAAAGCTTTTTCCTTAACCCAATATGAATCGAGGAAAAAACTTTTTCCTTAATATAGATTGGGAAAAAAAGTCTTGTTACATGTATGTGAAAGGACTTTTTCCCCAACCCATTATAAAAGATATTTTAGTATATATTATAATAATGATGTATTCGAACAAGACAAAACGAGAAAATATCGATACCGAGATTTAGATTCGACAAAAACAAATGATTGATACAATTTTCTCGTCTCGATGGGTCGATATTCTCGCTTCTCGAGATTACCGAATTTTATCTCGAGACATTCGAGAATATCGACTATCTCGTTTCATTTATTTGAAATATTTATGTAACCACACAGGCAGCACATCATATAATTATAACTATCATAAAAATGTCGAAACGAGACGAAACGAGACGAGACGAGAAAAAGAAATGACATATGCGATAATCTCGGAAATGTTTCTTTTAATGACACGAGAAATTCTGAGACGATATTCTGAGAATCTTGTATCGAAATGCATCACTAGTACATTAATAAATTTTTTTTATTGTTCAAATGTTTCACCATAAAGATAAAATCAAAATTTATTTAATATATATATATATATATACATATATATATATATTATTAGCTTAACATCTAATTTTGATCATAATTAATGCTTCTTGTATTTAGTTAATTTATTCATATACATGATCTTATTTCTGATCTTAATTATTCTTTAAAGATTAATTTTAACTCTTTATGATGAATTCAGGACAAAAAATAGTTCACTACATATCAGAATACCTTTTATATATCAGTTTCATAATTTTTTTAATTTCCGAATTAGAAATCTTCTCTTGCAAGTCTAAAAATTACTACAGTGATTCTAAAATGTACCGCAAGACATCTGCGCGTTCAAAATGAGTTGCAAGTACTGATTATGAAATATTTTTATTCACGACCATCACAAGCGAAATATTAAAATCGCGGACAGGCAAAGCCCTTTCTACAAAGTTTTAATTTCCATCGTATTGAAGCTCATCATCGCGTAACGCTTGCGCGAGCAAGTCATAAACGTTTAAAACTTGATTTATCTCTCGCTCTGCGTTCATCGCAATGAGAACAAATTCGCCACCACCGCCGCCGCCGTGCGAACGCTTTATTACAGCATGAGCGCATCTAGCACGCCCGCACCTACGTAATTGGCGCAATTCCGTAAGTGTTTCCATTCAATTTTCTTTTTATTACGTGCTCGCCAGCCGTTCTGCCATCGCCTCATCGCACGCGTTTCTCATCCCCCTGCGCATCGCGGGATACATCGCGTTGTTTACGGCCGTTTTGACACGTTTCACGACACCCGGGAGTCTGTGATGCGTTGCAATTTCTTCATCCTTTGAAAGTCCAAGAGAGGGATCGCGTCAGTCAAAAATTATCGCGTACACCTCGGACAATGTAGTCCTCTTTACATCTAGTAAAGTAAGTTCTAAAGATGCCCTATTCTATACAGTAAAAAAAAAAAACATTTTGTATTTGTGTTAAACATCCACAAATATAAAACGGTCCACTCAAGTCCTTGTTAAAATTGTGCATGAAATTTTTGACACATTCAAGAATTAATCTAAATATTTTATGTTAAATAAATATTCAACATTTCTTAATTCAAAATAATTTATGGGTAAGTGAACAAATAACATAAAAATAATGTACTTTAAAACGTAAATTTTAAAGTAAATGAAAAAAAATACGTGTTAAATTAATTTTATTATAAATTTTAATGTTATTGAAAAAAATATGCTTTCAAAGTTTGCTTATAAATTATTTTAATGTTATATTTTTTATCTCAATTTGTTTACATAATATGTTTGTGTTATTTTCTAATATATTCACTTGTGCAAGATTAACACAAAATTTAAGTGAAATGTGTTAAATTTAACAAATTTTCCATTTTTATGCTACAAAAATCATATAATATACAATAGCTATGTATATTGGATATCATAAATTAAATATGCATATGACTCTTATATATGATTCTTATAATAAAACTGGATAGAGGGCATCTTTAGGCTTGCTTCACTATATTTAAGGAAGGACGAATCATTGTCTATTGGTATACATAATCTGTCTAAAAAGTTTCGAGACTTATTTTTTCCTAAATG